AAGAGGATTAAGTTGAATTATGCAAGAATTGAGCTAGTAATGTAGAAAAGATGAACATTTCATACATGCATGCATAATTCATGGGTTTTGATTTTTGATATCAACAAATTCTTACATGCAAGGGCCTATTTTTGTTCAATTATGGGAGCTCATTTTGGTTTTGCACTTTACCACTCCATTTGTGTATGTTTTGGAAGGTTTGAGTTCTTGACAACACATGTATGAGATGTATACATCTTGTTCAAGTTTGGTTTTGAAGTATTCACTTACTTTTGGGCCTTGATTTTGTGTAATGAACCTAGATTCATGATGTTTTATAAGTTTACAAGTGCTTTCTCAAGTTTTGGGGACCAAAGGTTGTGTTTTGCAGCTTTGAATTTGAGTTTTGGATTTAGAACATCAATTTGGAAATTCCAGAATTCTGCCTCACCGCTCGAGCGACAGATCCTGCATTCGAGCAACTACCCTTGATTTTGCACTTTCGCTCAAGCGACCAAAAGTTGGCTCGAGCATAAAATGCATGCTTCCAGAAGTTTATGCATTTTATAGACCACTCGAGCGACTAGAGTTGCGCTTGAGCGAAGATCTTAGTCTCATGCTCGAGTGACCATCGAGCAGAGAAATCACACAATCAGTGCTTTTGCAGAGTTTACAGACCACTCAAGCAACCGAAGTTGCGCTCGAGCAACCATGCTTTATTTTTAACCTCCATTTGAGTGAAGGAAGTTGCGCTCGAGCGAGGACCCTATTTTCAACAAATTTGACTATTGAACAACATGTTTTGGCATCCTTATTGCATCCTAGACATTCCTAAGCCATAGTTAAAACATAATGATGAGGATAAGACTTAGAAACACACTAAGAACAAAATGCAACAAGTTAAGTACTATCCGAGTGTGTGCTTCAATATGTGTATCTGTTATGTTTGTGTAGGTCACGCGCCGTAACCCATTTGATTTGTCTGCTCTGTCTCTTTGTTTTCGGAGCTATCTATGAGTAATAATTTAGTAAAGCTATGTTCAACTTTATTTACTTCTGTGTGATGAAATAGGATATGTTTTATGAAATGTTATGTTATGTGCAATGAATGATTGTCCAATTTCTGACATGTATTTGTGGCATCCTTTGCATCATGTGATATCTATTAGCTGTTACCCAGTATCGGAGGTTCCATCATGGAACTTAATATGTCTATAATTTGTTACCCGAACCAGAGGCTCCATTATGGAGCTCAGCATGTCTATTCTCTGTTACCCGGATCTGGAGATTCCTTTAAGGAACTAGTTATACATAACCACCATCTGTTTTGTATCTGTTCTGTTAACACTAATGGATGTACCACGTATAAGAATGTGAATTTGTTTCTGATATGAAATTTATTTTTCGAATCTGATATGGGACATCATTCAATTAAAATTCTTTACTTCATTATTATTCATTGGGCTTCCGCTCACTGTATTATTTATGTATGTAGGTGACCAAACGCGTGACCAAGCTCAGTGATGATCGCCTGGACTTCAGTTTTGTCAGCCACCCTTTGTGTCTCCTACGAAGGTTCCAGAAAAAAGTCATGTGGTCATGTTTTGTGAATGTATAAGACTTTGTTTTCCTTTTTGGATTATGAACAAGTTTTCTGTTTATCTGTTTATTGGGCTAAGTCCCCTTTTAGCTATATTTGTAAAGAATGTGACATATGACTATTGTAATTATGACGTTACGTGTATGTATATAAAGTTTTTAAATTTTTGTCCCATATATGTTTACACAGCTTAATGGACTATGTATATTCTATATATTTGCTTCCGCAGTTCCTTTTTATGTGTTATTCTGTTCAGAGGCCTTTGGTAATTCTAGGATTACCGACCGGTTATGACGCTAAACCTGCAGGGGCGGATTTGGGTCGTGACATATATTTTTTTATATAGTTTGGTAATATATTTAGTGCAATGATTACGTGTTGCACACAGTACACAAGAGTTTTTTCCTACATGAACTTCGGCGGACACTTTCAGTTACCTGCCACTATCGATCATCACATCTGTCCACTTTTCATTTCCAACAACTCATCAAATATATTTCTCTATTTTTATTTTTATTTATTTTAAAAATATTTTTATACACCAAGTAAGTTTTATATTTTTATTTTTTGCAAAAATAAACAAAAACCTATTTATTATTGGTTGTAAACTAAAAATTGAAAACGCTTTCCTACTACCAGCATTTCTCTAGGATAATAATAAAAAAATTAAAATTATTTTGCTAAAAAATGATTTATTCAAATTTATCATAAATAAAAAATAGATGGGCTTTATGCCAGCCTTAGGGGTAATTTGAAATATTCTAAAGGGAAAATTACCAAGAAGTATTTTTTGAAAAACGTGTAGTTTATTTATTCCCATAACATTTTGTTGATACCCAAAAGTTCTATAACGTTATTCTTCTTCTCTGCTTCTCTTATTCTCTACCTCTTTTGCTCTTTGTGATTTCCAGCGATCGTTGACAGGTAACCATATCTTGCTTCTTCTCTTTCTCTTTTCGATATATAGTCACCGGCGACCGGCGACCGACAACTACCATCGATTGGGATTCACCGGAAACCACTGACCGCTGACTCCTTACTTCACCCTCACCGACGGTAAAGAATATATGTTTTCGATGAAGAAGATAAGTAGATCTACTCAGATCTGATGTTGGTTAGATCTAAACAAAAAATAGTTACCGGAATACAATCCTCTCTCTATATTCGCCTTTCTCCTTTGATTTCTTTTTTTTTCTACATTTTCTCTATTATACATTTTTCTTTTTCTGTTCTAATGGAGAAAATTTTCAAATTCTAAACAAGTTGTTTTCGAGTTTTAGTTATAGGTAGTGAAAATTGTAAAATTTTACAGTTTCAAATTTTTTTTAGTGCTGGAATGAATCATGGTTTAAAACTGTAAAATTTTGCAGTTTCATAACATTCTTTAGAACTGTAAAAATTTACAGTTTCATAATATGTTTTTCAGTTTGATTAATAAGGATAAATGCTTAATAGATTTTGGCTTTGAAACTGTAACATTTTACAGTTTCAAAACTTACTTTTCAGTTTGATCAATATTAGAGATTATTTGCTTAAACCTTACAAAAATTGAAAAATAGCATATATTTTTTCCATTGTTGCTGTTTTTTGTCATTTCATTTTTTTTTCCCTTTTAGTTTATCAATATTTAGCACATTTTGTTATGTTTTTTCACTCTAATTTCTCCATTTATTTTTTTTCTGGCAATATTCTAGATATTTCGGTGAGTCTCCAGTGATGTTCTTAACGTCCAGTGAACATTCTGAACATTCCGGCGACTTCCATTAATGTTCTTAACACTCCGGTGAACTTTCGACGATACTCCGGTAACTTCCCACCGATACTTCGGCGACTTCCTGGTGATACTGAACATTTCGATAAGTCTCCGGCGACCATTTGACGGAAGTCCGACAGTAATAAGATGAAACAGTGTCTGTAAATTAAAAAAAAAAAGATTTTTTTGATAACAATTAAAAATGTATAGGACTAATTGGTGCAAGTGTTTTGTTTGAGAATTAGATGAGCCTTGAATTTTGTATAGGAGACTTATTAGTAAGTTTTCTTACTCTAAATAGGTGTATTTTTTAAAATTTTTGTAAGAAAATATATAAGGAAATAGAGAAAGTAATTAAAAAAATAAAAAGGGATGGTAATAGATGTTAATTGATATGATTTCATACTTAAAAAAATACGATTTTTTTTTGGTTTACCCAAGCACCTCAGTGAAGTGAGCATGCACCGTCCTTTTTAAGGTCCAGATCCGACCTATAAAATCCGTATTCAGTGAAACCGAGCAGCGGTGGAACTTGAAATTGGAAGGGCGACACTCTCGTTTTTGGCAGCAGCAGCAGCAGCAGCAGCAGCAGCAGCAGCAGCAGCAGCAGCAGCAGCAGCAGCAGCAGCAGCAGCAGCAGCAGCAGCAGCAGCAGCAGCAGCAGCAGCAGCAGCAGCAGCAGCAGCAGCAGCAGCAGCAGCAGCAGCAGCAGCAGCAGCAGCAGCAGCAGCAGCAGCAGCAGCAGCAGCAGCAGCAGCAGCAGCAGCAGCAGCAGCAGCAGCAGCAGCAGCAGCAGCAGCAGCAGCAGCAGCAGCAGCAGCAGCAGCAGCAGCAGCAGCAGCAGCAGCAGCAGCAGCAGCAGCAGCAGCAGCAGCAGCAGCAGCAGCAGCAGCAGCAGCAGCAGCAGCAGCAGCAGCAGCAGCAGCAGCAGCAGCAGCAGCAGCAGCAGCAGCAGCAGCAGCAGCAGCAGCAGCAGCAGCAGCAGCAGCAGCAGCAGCAGCAGCAGCAGCAGCAGCAGCAGCAGCAGCAGCAGCAGCAGCAGCAGCAGCAGCAGCAGCAGCAGCAGCAGCAGCAGCAGCAGCAGCAGCAGCAGCAGCAGCAGCAGCAGCAGCAGCAGCAGCAGCAGCAGCAGCAGCAGCAGCAGCAGCAGCAGCAGCAGCAGCAGCAGCAGCAGCAGCAGCAGCAGCAGCAGCAGCAGCAGCAGCAGCAGCAGCAGCAGCAGCAGCAGCAGCAGCAGCAGCAGCAGCAGCAGCAGTAAGCGCGGCGGTGGCCATGTCGGAGCCAAGCGAGTATAGCCTCCGCAGCGGGCCGTACCTGGGCGAAATATCAGCCCTCTGTTTCCTTCACCTACCACCCCCTCATCTCTCTTCTACTCCTTACCTCCTTGCCGGTACACTTATCTCTCTCTCTCTCTCTCTCTCTCTCTCTCTCTCCTTGCCAGAAGCAATTTTACAATGTTGTTGACTCAACAGGGACCGGTTCTCAGCTTCTGCTCTATCAGTTGGAAACGGGAAAAATGGTTAAATCATTTCACGTGTTCCAAGGTATTCGAGTCCATGGAATTACGACTTGTAGCTCTATTAATGGCAATGGCAATGGCCATGGCAAAGACAGATCCTTTTCTTCTTCAATTGACTTCAATATTGCTATGTTTGGGGAAAAGAGGGTCAAACTGTTTACCTTATCCATTCAAATGGATTGCCAATTCCAAGATCAACCACAAGATTTTATTCATTTTCATTTGAATTTATTACATTTGTTACCCAAATTTAGTCATTGGGTTTTGGATGTTTGCTTCTTGAAGGTAATTAATTATTTCTAACTTTCTTTTCTATTCTAGTTACATTCTTGTTGCTAAATATCTTATGATTTTATCATTCTTTGCTCTTTTATTTTGCATGTGGATCGGTAGTAGGACCATGCAAGCTCTCCGCACCAAGAGAGTTGTTGTCTTGCTATTGGGTGTAGTGACAACTCTGTCTCTTTCTGGGATTATTTAAAACTGAAAGCAAATTTCCATGTCAGATGTCCAGGTTAGTCTTTCCAAGGTGTTATAAATCCAAGTTTATGATTGATTGCTCAATGATTTTGGTCTATCATTAATTGTGCAAGTGGTAAAGTTCTGCTGCACCTTTTGATCCTAGATATCGAAAAATGTCTAGTATATGGAAATTAAAACATATTTCAATATTTTGGAATCATGATTAGTGTTTTAGATTGAGTACTACAAGTATCTGATTCCATTGATTGTTGGTAATACTTGTTTTGTTGATAGAAGTCGTATTATTGATTAAGCACAGCAGTGTTCATCCATTTGATTTTTATTTTTTTATTTTTTATTCATTTATAGATAGGTGCCTTTTGTATTCCATGCGGATTTGGGGTGAAAAGGTTGAAGCTCTTCGTATCGCATCTGGTACTATTTACAATGAGGTGGCTACTCTTTCCTTGTAGTGATATTTTCTCCAAATTATCACATGCTGTTTGTTTTCAGAATGACTTTGCTGTTGTGATCTACAAACCTTACCTTTATGCTGTGTGTGGTTGGAGGATTTGGTGGGAAGAGATTGGAAAGGGAAAAGGAAAGGGGAAAGGTAGGTGAAATGTGAATAAAATATACTTAAATTTCACCTAATTTTACACAACTTTTCCCATTTAGGTGTGAATAAACTCACATTTCACCTACCTTTTTCCTTCTTTTAGAGAAAGAGAAAGGGAAAAGATAGGTGAAATGCGAATAAAATATATCTAAATTTCATCTAATTTCACACACTTTTTCCCATTTAGGTGTGAATAAACTCACATTTCACCTACCTTTTTCCTTCTTTTTTCGAAATTTCTTCCCAAATCCTCTAACCAAACACGGCATTAATGTCTTGGTTATTCATCTGATTTAAAAGTTTTTTTTTTTTTTTTCCTTTACTGTTTTCTTTTTAACTGTGACTATGCTATAATCAATCTCTATTATTATGGTTGATTAAATTAAATATAAGGATGGTGATTGGACAGGTTAATTGATACCTCACTCTGTGCTCGCTCGGTCATGGCAGTGATGTTACGTCAATCATTCACTGTGATAGAGCTTACTTAGCAATTACCTAATGGCTATAATGTTTATGAACTGAAGGACCAGAGTATTAGTTATAAAGGAAAAGTAATTGTAGAATTGTAATTGTGTTTTTTAGGTAGCAAAAAGGATATTATGGGTTTGTTTTGGATATGTGAGGTTTCATTTTGCCCATGTTTCAATTGATACCCAATAAAACAAAACTACACATTGACTGGTCAGGTTTGGCATTGGTTTTTTAAACTATATAAGGTTCATCTATTTTTGAAAGAGACCTCCCTGATGTTGGACAGGACATTGAGAGTTTTAAAATCTGAAATGGTAGGTTTTCATGGGATTGTTCTGGATGCTGCAAACTGTATCCGTGGACAATTTTTTATTTATTTAAAAAAAATGGGGGTACTTGTGGGTTGTTTCAAGTGATCTAGGGTTAGAGAATTAGGATGGAAGGTTTAGACTTTGAAAATAGGATGTAAATATTGAAAGGAACAAATCCGGTTGGGCTGTTAAAGTGCAGCAAATTCAACAATGGAAGAAGGAGAAGAAGATAGTTTTAGGAGTCACTTCTAGAGGCCATAGGAATTGCACTTAGGATTTAATTGCATCACATAATTCAGAAAAAAGCTTGAAAAGCTTAATAAAATTCTTCAAAACTTATTCTTCATTGGATTAGATGTATTACATTGCTTGATATAGACCTTGGAGAGGAGACTTACTACTTCAATTAAGACTAGTATTTCTAAAAAAAAAAACTATAGTTTTGGCTTCTAAATCCTATTCAAGACCAAACATATCCTAATTCATAACTTGTCTATATGAGGACTCATCAGCAATCCCTGCAGCCATGTCCAAAAATTGTGCAAATTACCAAGATATTCAGGATTTATAAAACTAAATAAATAATATAGAAAATTAAATAGATTTATTCCTAGCTCAAGTAATAATAAAATAAGATTCTACTAAACCTAAAATCTTAATTACATTGTTGGTCTAATTGATCCCAATTTCCAAACTTAGTTACTTGTTTGTTTATTTATTTATTTTGTTTTTCCTCTTCTCATGGACTTCATTACTCCCTTTCCTTCCTTTATGTTGCTGTTGTGGTGGTTCAATGTTTCAACTGTTGGGGGAGTATTATATTTTTTCCGAATTATTTTTTTCTCTACGTCCATCTAGCAGTGTGCACCACCCCCACATTTACCTTGTGTCCATATTTACCTTGTCTCACTTGCCATGTCTCCACTTTCCGCTTGGTTTGGATGAAGGCGTTCCTTTGCTTGGCGTGGTTGGTGCCCCTGCCCCCTCACAAATCTGGACCATTGCCATTCAAAACGAGATTTGCAATAGTTGCTGTTGTAAAAGTGAGCACCAACATGATGGTTGGTTGAGAGCATTCTATGGTCACCCCTAGCATCTAATAAAAAGTGATTATTAACTGGTATAAATATTTTTTAACACTTAGGAAATGTACTTCATTCTCTGAATTTGGCCTGACTGTAACCTTATGCTGTTAATAACATTGAAATGTGTCATCACCATAGTTCTCTTGGATTTTTTCCCCATGGGTATTATCTTTGTAGAAAATAACTTCCATGTCATGGCACGTAGTTAAGATATTTTCAGTTAGAGATGCTATGACATTGGCTTACTATTTCAAAGATGAATTTTTTTTCCTTCTAGTTATATCTTTAAATTACATGAATTTTAAAAAAAGAGTTGATTTGGCAGATTATTGTGTGGAAAGTGGTTCATAGCAACCATACTTCATCAAAAAGTCCAGTGAAAGACCATGTTAGTATGATCAGTTCTTTCGACAAAGGTCTCCAGTTTCATGATCAGCAATACGAATCTGTTCACATGTGCAGACTTGCTGGACATGAAGGTTCAATATTTCGCATTGCTTGGTTCTCTGATGGATCCAAACTAATATCTGTCTCTGATGATCGTAGGTGTGTAAGTTTCTTGACTTTTACTATTCTAGTTGTTGTTTCATGAACTCTGAGACTTTAGGGAAGATATTCTATATGATAATTTTGTTGTCTTTGTTTCTGCAGTGCTCGTCTCTGGACCGTTCATGCTGAAAGGAAAGAATTTGATAATTTCGCGGAGATTCTTGGCTCTCACTCAGTTGGTCCTGTTTTGTTTGGACACAGTGCTCGGGTTTGGGACTGCTGTATATTTGACTCTGTGAGCTCCAGAAAACAATTTTTTTATAGCTTCCATTTTTATTTTCTCATAAACATGATTATAAGTTGAATACAAACTACCAACACAAGTCCATACCCAGATGAAAATGTTTCTCATCGATGTTGTCTTGCTCCCTTCTTCTGAAAGGGTGCTATTTACTTATGAGGATTATGTCAATTATTAGTGTTCAGTCAGGTAATTTCAATGTTTGTTTTGCTATGTTTTTTTAATTGCTTGAGAATTATGCTGAATTTACTTTGATGATATTGTTGTGGTTGGTTAGGGTGTGCCTGAAATGCTTTTCCCATGGCTAATGGTTGGAATTTGGTTTCTTCCAAATATTTTGTAATGTCAGCAAATATAATATGAGGTGGTCAGAATGGGGAGGAATTTTGTTTGCAATGCTGAGCTAATGGTCAAAATTGAAAGTAGGGCTTGCTGCAAATGAAAGCAATTTAGTATATTTGTCCTCTGATTGGTTGGGGCACAATGCCAAACATTCACATTCGCCTTCGTATATTTTTTAGATAACACAAAAATAGATGAGACCCTCATTTGCAGATCTTCTGGTATCTCACTCGTAGAATACTTCAAATACCTCTTCATTTTACAATATGTTACACTCTTTTTAATATTCGAATCTTCAAATGGTCAATTGTTATTAAGTAGTTTTCCCCATTTTTTTTGGTGTCTGATTTCATCAATGGGAATATTGTTTCCATTGATCCAGAGATGGCTTCATGATTGCCAAGTAATTATAACTGAATATTGTGCCAATTCATGGTCACATAGCAGCATTTGGGTGTGAATACGATCAATGATATGAAGTGTTGTTCAACTTCTAATGTTATCATAATTCTTGTGATAATTTTTCCAATGACGAAGCTTTTAGACATTACAACAATGATGTTTTTCTAAACTGGATGGCTTATTATGCGGTAAAGTCAATTTGGCCCTTTTCAATTTGGCCTTGACCTATTAAGGATTTATATTTGACTACAACATGGGTTTCATGGAATTTAGTCATGCATTTCATATGTTTTCCCAAAGCTAAAGCTTCTCTCTCTGCTATTCTATATGTAAAGAAGTTGGTATATTTTCTGTCTTTTTAATGCGGATAGGAACTAACTTTCTTCTGCATGGGGATTTACACAGTTAATAGTCACTGCTGGCGAGGATTGTACATGTCGTGTGTGGGGACTGGATGGTAACCAGCTTAAGATGATAAGGGAGCACATGTAAGTTGTGAGTTTGCAATTGTGCATGTGTATTTTGATGTGCCATAGCTTAAAATGTAAGACCTTAAATTGCAAATATTTTAATATTCTACGATGTTGCAACTGAGCTTGCTAATACCACGGATCATGAGCCTACATAACCAGAATGCCCACACAGCACAGTTAGACCGAATGTCGTTGTGTAGTTATGATGCTGAGATAATGCCGAACCAGTTTAGGTTGTCGACTATTCACATGCCACATCATGGGTTTGTTCAACTCATCTGATGGCAATCCTAAGAAGTTTAACATCTTGTCAAGTTATTCTACAATTTGTCAGTACTATTCTTTGCCTTTTATTATTATTTGGAGTATGAAAGATGAATTCTGCTATGCAGTTTCTCTTTTCCATAAGCCTTTCATTCAGATGAAGCATCGTATCTGTTAAATATTTTTCTATTATCAGTGCCATGTGTGTATGGCCTCCCTCCTTTTAGAATTTTTAATTTAGAGTAAATGTCTTTGGTTGATGGCCTAGCCATTCTATACCTTCACTCATTTGAACACCTAATTGGCGCTATTCTAGTGTTTTCTTCACTGTGCTCTTACCTTTTCCCCCCTCTTTCTTTGCTACATTAACATTTTCTTCTTGACTTCACTTGTCACATGGTAGAAAAGTCTTCACATGTTTGAGAATTTTTTTATCATTAGGGATAAGGCCCAGACCAGATTACGTTAATAACCCTAGCTGAATTTGCTGATTAAGAATTTGTGTATCTTGGTGATCCGATCTGCACAACAGATGGCTTCTCGCATACATGTTTGGATTCCCATCGAAGGTTCTAGCTAGTAGCTCTCTGATGCTCAAAATGAGATTGTAATGGGGATCAAAAGAGGAGGCAGAAGCAATTGGAGTCTATCAGTATGCAACTGAGTTGGCTTCCAGCTTGACTTTGCTGTGACCTTCTGGCAGACATTTCACTGTACAACACAAATCTGCAGACTGCAGTAGTATATGTTGCCCAGCCTATATTATCGACAAAACCCAGAATCCAATATGTTGTTTTACGGTGATTTCCCATTTGTCTGATTGGCTCTTAAAACCGCAAGGACAGATCCACTCTTACAATCCACCTCTATATTTGCTAACATGTTGCTGTTTTCATTAGACATCAATCTTAACATTACCCGTATAATGTTTTTGTTACACTTACATTGCTTACTTTTATATAGTAGAAAGTTCTTTTTTTTTATATATTTAAAAAACTATTTGTTACTATGCAGTGGGCGGGGAATATGGCGATGCTTGTATGATCCAAACTCTTCACTTCTTGTTACTGCTGGGTTTGACTCATCAATAAAAGCACAGCTGCTGAATGCTTCTCTGTTCAAGAGCTCAGAGAGGCATGATGAGGAAGCAAAAGAACTCACTGATGGAACAAAGATCTTCACTGTTCGTATCCCACGTTCATCTGAGCATATTGGACTCATGAATAGGTAACCTCCTCCTTGCAAGTGTTGCTCTTAGCCAAAAAGAATAGAGGAAGAATAATGGTATTTCTATATGTACTGGTAGTGGTGTTTGTTGGTAGCACAGTGAACCATAACTGTATTTTCTCAGTATTATTTTGGATAATGAAGAAAATAGTGGATGGTGTGTGTAGAGGTTGTCCAAGAACATTTGTATGAATAGGTTGTTTAGACATCTCCAGTGTGAAACTGGTAGCCTATAAACCTTCAATATTATCTTGGGTTACCTCGCCTTCTACCTTCCTCATCGCTATCATTTTAGTGAACCCTTATTTATGGGCTTTTCTGGTCCCTTCGGACATCTTGCAGCAAAAGTGAATATGTAAGGTGCTTGCATTTTGCACGTGAAGATGCCCTTTATGTTGCTACAAACAATGGTTACCTGTACCATGCTAAACTATCCAATATGGCGGATGTAAAATGGACTGAACTTCTGAGGGTCAGTGAAACAGTGCCAATTGTTTGTATGGACTTGTTGTCTAGAAGCTCATCCAACCTTCCTAGCACTGTCGAAGATTGGGTTGCTGTTGGAGATGGTAAAGGGCACATGACAATTGTCAGCATTGTTGGTGATATTCATACTACTAAAGTCGGCATCACTTTGACCTGGTCAGCTGGAGTAGAGAGACAACTCTTGGGAACATATTGGTGCAGATCACTGGGTAGTAGGTAAATGACCATTCCTTGTCTTTAAATAATAAAATTATGTTTAAGCTAGAAGTACATCTTAGTTGCCTGTAGGGTGATGGGATATATCATATAGATCCCATTATCTCCCTTGCTTGCTGCTAAATATCTTGAGTTTGATTATGAACTGATTGAAGCATCACTTATTTAATAGTTCTGTGTGCTGGTTTTGCTAAGGGCTCTAGAAATCATTTAAGTTATAATCATCAGACTGATTTTCTTAGCCAATATGTGGATGGAATTCAAATGGGAGGTTCCCATGTTTTACTAATGTTATTTGATAAATACCTTACTGTTCTTACTTCATTGTTAATCTGTAGAAGCTTGTAAAAGCTCATAAGTATCTGATGCTTTTTATCATGTAGATTCATCTTTACTTCTGATCCCAGAGGAACATTGAGATTATGGAGGTTAGGCAATCCTTTACAATCTGTTTCACACAGTTCGCCGAAAAGTTGTGACCCTTTGCTAATAGCAGAGTTTGTATCGTGCTTTGGAATACGGATAATGTGTTTGGACGCTTCATTTGAGGATGAGGTATTTGTTTTCCATTGTTTCTTCCTTATTCTGACTTATTGTAAATTAAGGTTGCTTGCTCTCTGTGGTTTTTAAGATGGTTCCTACTCGAATTGTCACAATAGATGACTTATGCAGAGTTTGGAGACTACGGTCACAACACATTATTCTAAAGCGACCTAATCAAATCTCACTTGAGACTAGCCAGCCTTCATTGGATACCTTCTACACAAAATTATTTATTGATTTTATATTTGATCTGTTCTCGTATATGATTACTTCTTCTCCCTGTATCTAGATTTCTTATCCAAGAATTTGAAACTACCCTAAAAATATTGGAGAAAATGAATTGAAAAAAGTACTTACTATAAAAATTAATTATGGTACACTTTGATATACTGTGAGATGAAAATTTCATTGTCACTGGAATTGATATTATATCATAATATATCAGTACAAGATCAATGTACCAACATAAAGAGAGTAAATTTATTTAATGGGCCTGATTTTGCTGTACCTTTTCTACTCTTTTTTGTTTTGTGTTTTTTGCTTCTTCTTACCTAACCTTGCTGATATTGTGTTATAGTTTTTGAGCGCAATGATGCAGGGTGGGACAGCCACCAAATATTAAGTGTAACAACCCTCATTTCAACTTAGTCATACTTGCATACAATTATGAATGATCTTGTTTTGATATGTGCATTTGCAAATCTTGTCTTGTTTTGCCCGAATGTTGCTTGCATACTTTGTTCTTGCCTGGTGTGTTGCCGAGGTCATCTTAAGTCTGGACACCTTGGAACCTTTCCACACTTAGAACTATCTTGGAACCCCATCGGTTGACCTCCATCTTTACCCCGGCATATTGGCCGAGATGTCACCATCTAGGCCGAGGTGCGCGTTGCCTAGGCCGAGATGTGCATCATCTAGGCCGAGATGTTAATATCTAGGAGTTCTAGATCCTTGATCCTTGCATTAGTGATTTTGTTCCTAGATTGGTATGACCTAGACCGAGGTGTGGCACATCTAGGCCAAGGTGTGGCACAACTTAGTCCAGTGTTGTCCTTCCAAGTCGATGTCCTTGCCCCTTGATTGCCGGAATCTTGTTGTTAGCCGATGTCGTTACTTGCCGGTGTGTTCTTGCCGTCTAGCTTGTTGAATACACTTTGTCTTGGTCTTGTCTAATCAATCAGTCACCTTTTTGAGTAGAGCCAACCAGCCGGTGCCACGCGTCCCGGCAGAGGGATTAAGTCAGTGATTGTTGTGAGAAACATATCATTTGTATCAAATCTTGCCTTTTAGAGAGAGAGAGACTCTAGGAAGAAGAAGGAGAAATTTGAGCAAGAGAGAGTGAACTTCCAAGCTTGATCGTTGGAGCTAGAATCGTTAGATTCGAGTTTTGAGGTTAGAATCTTAACCTACTCTTGCTCTTATTGATCATCAAACTGCATTGCACGATCAAACCTGTTCGGCACGTCATGCATTGATTTAAAGTTGGTTCTAGAAAGAGAAATTGGTTTTCATGTGTTCTTGAAGAAAAGCCTCGTTTGATCCGAAAGTTTGCACTAAGACTCATGTTTTTGTGTTTGTTTTGATAAGATCCTTGAGTATGGGTACCCAGGTCCATGTTTTTGAATTCATAGCATGGAATCTCAGCTTTCGTAATAGCAAGTTTTGATCTTTGCATTCATCTTCCTCATGTTCATGTTCTTCATGTTCTTCATGTTATCAAGGGGGGGAAACCCAGATTTTTCCCGACTTTGCTTTTGAATGTGGCCGTCGGGGCCACACCTCGGCAAGGAGGTGTGGGACCTCGGCCTAGACCTGGTAGTTGCCCGACATATTTTCCAGAAATAAGAAACGGTGTTTTGATTTGATTTGACTTAGTTTTTGAGGTATGCCGAAGTCATTTGCTTGCATGCAAGACTTGTTTTGAGAAGTGCATTCAATAGACCTTGCCATGTGTTTGTAGGACTTGGACTTGCCTTAACCCCGACGTTTGACGAACTAGGTGAGTGGTATTTTTAATAAAGCTATGTTATACGTTTTGATAAAGACTTTGCTTTGCTTTGTTCTGAAAGTATTTGTTAAGCATGAATAATTGTCCTGTTTTGCATATCAAGTATGATCTTGTTTTGATGACCTTCTCGGAAAGTCCCTTGTGCTGGAGGACTTTAAACTTTCGCAGCACATCTCGTTTTGGAAGTCCCTTGTGCTGGAGACTCTAAACTTTCGCAGCACATCTTGTCTTGAAAGTCCCTTGTGCTGGAGGACTCTAAACTTTCGCAGCACTCTCGTGTTAAAAGGCTACGGGCCTTTGTACATAGGTCCCTTGTGCTAGAGGACTCTAAACTTTTGTAGCACCCTTGTTTGAGAGGCCTCTCTTGCTTTGTCTTGTTTTGCCACTGACGGTTTACCGTGTGGATATGTTGCCGGAATGTTATCATTTGTAATATGTGATGCTAGTAAGTATCCCTTGAAGCTTTGAAGATTTGTTAGATGGACGAGGTCCATCCCTTGTTATCTAAAGTTTTAACTTGTATTGTTTTAAAGGACTTCGGCTATTATTCATGCGAACCCCTTTATTATTTATACCATTCACTGAGTATCTAAGCTCACCCTCTCTCTATATATATATAGGTGATGAACAAGAAGGCGGTGACGCCTAGATGTGATTCTGGAGCTTATTTTGGATTTTGATTATGTCGGCTTACCCTGTATTTACGTCGGTAGTCTTGAAAATTATGCTTCTCGATTTTAATACTTGTATGTTGCATACGTCGGCTTGAGAAGCCTTTTGATCAAGATGTGTGTTTTGTATGATTGTTATGTCGGCAAAGAGGATGTCGGCAACCTGGCAGACTGTGTTCCTTGACCTGTAGTTCGTACATTTTGTTTGTGTCGGCTTGTGAAGCCCTTTTGTTAATATGTAAGATGTAATTTGTACTTTGCTTCGTTTGTATTAAGTTGTAACTCATATGAAGATGGTTGCTATTTCATTTGACTTATGCACAGCTCTTATGGACTAATCTGATTGAATGTATCGCTTCCGTACTTGTGAGCCCCATATATTTATACTCTGTTGTGTGTGAATTTTGAAAGTTGGCCTTCGGTAATCTCGGATTACTGGCCATCACGGCACCAAACTACTAGGGGTGATTTGGGGTCGTGACATTAGAGAACAAATTTCTTTGTTGAAAATCAATGTTAGATGATCAGAAAATAGGGTGTAAAAAGATCAATACACAGCCAAAGGGCTAGAGAAGAGAGAAAATAACTTTAATCTGCAGAATAGTTTCACTAAAATCTGGATAAAAACTGATCACAACTCTTTTAGGACCCTTTTTATAAGTGAGAAATCCTAAAAACTTTAATACTAGCAATCAAAGCAATCTAATCTGAAGCATACATATTATCTTAATAAAAATGACAGAAAAAGACAAAAGAATTCCTTAACAGTAGTAGTTACTGTTGTCGGAATAGTACTGTTCAGCACTTCACATGATGTCTGCTCCTGCATCAAGCAAGAAAGAGAAACAATGTTTTCTGAGATTCTCTGGGATGAGGGTCCTTTGGTCAAAGTTGTAACTTAGATGAGATTATAAATAGCAATACAGGGATGCAATGCATTAAATATGAAGTACGTTCTTCACATGATGTCTGGACATAGATTGTTTTTCTAGCTTCGAGATTATAACTGGATTTTGAACATTGATGTTAAATTTATTTATTGCTTAATGAACTTGTAGTTATCTTTTCAGGTGCTGGTTTGTGGAGATCTCCGTGGTAATTTGGTGGTATTCCCTTTGTTAAAGGACCTGTTGTTGGGTACATCTGTTGCTGCATCAGAAGTGAAATATCTACCTTAAATTATTTCAAAAGGGCACATGGGATATCTAGTGTGTGCAGCATTTCGATTGCTAGCTTCAGTTCCAGTCGAGTTGAAATACACTCGGTATGGCTAGAGTCCAACCTTTTTGTCTATGCAAAGATTTCAAATTTGATTTTTCTAGTTGCATTTTTATTTCCATTCTTCTTCATTTTGTGTCAAGGAGCAATGGAAAAGGCAGTTGCTAAAGTTTAATTGCTCAAAATCTTCAAAAATAACATTTCGTTCTTCTTCTTCTTCTTCTTCTTCTTCAAGGACAATTAAAAAGGCATTTTCTGTGATAAAGTGCTCAAAATCTAAATTATTTCCATATATTAGATGGTTGCATGTGCTGTTCTGCAGAGTTCATGCATAAGTTATTTTTCTATTTCATTTTCTTCATAAGTGCATGTTGCTATTTGGAATATGCAGAGATCGACAAATTTTTCAAGTTTTATTTCACCTCAAATGGCTCTGATACCAATCACACTTTAACTAAACATTTAGGATCTAGAGTAGAGTAAATAACCAATAACAACAATTTATAAACTGGTCAATTTAATTTTTCCCATGCATATGTAATTGAAACACAGAACAAGTAATCACATGCTCGTGTGTTAGTTCTTCTACTATTTCATTTTTCTTCAGACTGGAGGAGATGGGTGCATATGCTATTTGGAACATGACAGAGATCAACAAAATTTGGAATTTCTAGGGATGAAACAAGTGAAAGAATTGAGTTTGGTTCGATGTGTCTTGATGCAACCTCTTCTAATGATTTGACAAGTGGCAGCTATGCTGTAGGTTTTTCATCAACCAACTTTCTGATATGGAACTTGATGTCTGAGGCAAAGGTACTCTCTCTCTCTCTCTCTCACACACACACAGTTTCTTCCAAGTTTCTTTTATGTAACATTCCTAAATTTCATATTAGAGCAGGTTGTTCAAGTTCCATGTGGTGGATGGCGGCGTCCCTATGCTTATTATCTTGGTGATGTACCGGAGATAAGGAACTGCTTTGCATTTGTTAAGGTTTGCTCTTTTACCTATTTTTTTTTTTCCCTGAGAGAATTTGAAAAATAAACCATAAATGCTCCAATATGTTCTGTCTGTTATAACATATCATGCATGTGCTGAGGCTGGGACAGTTACAGATGGTCCTACTGTTGGATGATTAACCATTATTCTTGCTACTTTTTATTCAAGGACGATGAAGATCATGGAAAGAAGAAAAAGAGCAAATTTGAAATTTCATATGAAGCCACATTTAGGACATCAAGAATTAAAGATTTGGAATAATTTTGAGGCTTCATGTCATTATAGAGGTTTTAGTAATTAAGGATATAATGGTAATTCCAATAATTGTTGGGCATGGGTTGTAAGGGTCACTCATGGGGTTTTTTTTGGATCAAGTTATTAAATGGGTCATTAATTTATTTGAGGTTTATTATGTCAAATAATTTTAGTAGTCAAAAGTCTAAATTTTCTATTTTGATATTGAAGTAGAATTAGAAGTCATTAAAGTTTCCTATTATGATTGAAGTAGAATTGGAAATCATAGTTAGTCTAAAATATTAGTAGTTGCTAAATATTTTTAGTTTCTAAATTTGAATTATAGTCCTTATAGAATTAGGAGAGTCTTTAGCCTATAAATATATGTTTAACTCAATGATTGAGGAGAATAGTTAATATTATGCAAATTTGATATTGTGTTTGTGTGATTGGCCTATCCCTTGTGAGGGTGAAGCATCTCTCTCTCTCTAGCAAGGTTACTGTTCACTTCACTAAAAAAAGCATGAAAGATCGTCGTGATCAATGTTCTAAAGCCAAGGAAGCCAAAGAAAATGATGTGAATGCAACTGAACTTTTTGCTCTTCACAAGAAAAATGTTCACATTGAGTTTATTATTCCTAATAAATTTGATGTGGTCAATGGAGTGATGTCAATATTGAACTTTTTGATTTTCTCATCATTCATTCAAAACAATTAATTTGAATGGTTGCAAGTGCAAGATTTCATAATCCTTATACTTCAACATTATAGAACTCGAGGTCGAGTTTTTTTGAATGCAGGGGAGAATGATGAAGATCATGGAAAGAAGAAAAAAGGCAAATTTGGAATTTTTCATGAAGCACATTTAGGACATCAAGAATTAAATATTTGGAATAATTTTGAGTCTTCATGTCATTAGTAGGTTTTAGTAATTAAGGGTATAATAGTAATTTCAATAATTGTTGGACATGGGTTGTAAGGGTCACCCATGGGTTTTATTTTGAATCCAGTTGTTAAATAGGTCATTATATATGAGTTTTATTGTGTCTAAAATAATTTTAGTGGTCAAAAATCTAAATTTCCTATTTTGATATTAAAATAGAATTAGAAGTCATTAAAGTTTCCTATTATGATTGAAGTAGAATTGGAAATCATAGTTAGTCTAAAATGTTAGTAGTTGCTAAATATTTTTAGTTTCTAAATTTGAATTATAGTCCTTATAGAATTAGGAGAGTCTTTAGTTTATAAATATGTGTAACTCAATAATTGAGGAGAAGAGTTAATATTATGAAAATTTGATTTTGTGTTTGTGTGATTGGCTTATCCCTTGTGATGGTGAAACACATCTCTCTCTAGCAAGGTTACTGTTCAATTCACTGTTCACAGTGCTTAGAACAGCCACCGACAGCCCTTAAACACTCGTGTTGTCATTCCCAAAATCCTATTCTTTTGCAAACCCACTCCTATTTTTTTAAATACTTTTGCAGTCACAAAATCTCACCAAATGGCCCTATAAGTCTATTGTTACTGCTGCCAGTATACTTAAATTGGGCTCACTAGTAGGAAAGTAATCCCTACTCGTCCTACATCAAAGGATCATACAGCTATGTCCGATAAGGGCCTAGTAGGATCCCATAGGGATGTTGAACTGAACTGCCCTTTCTCGAGTTCTTGACTGGAGTCAAGGGTTTGGTGAAGCAGGACAGTTTCAATCTGATATTGAGATAGATAGGATCCTTTGGTGGGCTATTATTCTGTATTCTGAATCAGATTTCCTGGCAGTCCTACAGTGTATCAATTGGGCTTTTTTTTTCTCAGCTTTCCTTTTATCCTGTCTTTTATTTTCCAAATGATGAGAAATTTGCCATCGTTTATTGCTTTCAAAGACAGCATTATGTGCTTAATTAAGATATATATTGCCCACTATTATGTGCTATTATGTTGTGTGTATGTGCATGCGCATGTATATTTTGCTATTTATGTACTGTTCAATAAACTTTTCTTCTTTTTTTGTAGTAGTACAACATCACAAAGAAAAGAGGACTATAGCTTCATTTTAAACCATGTTGCATACTTGTTAAAGGAGGCTTTCTCAGAAATAACATGTTAAATCTCTAGCTATAATGTTGTACTTGTTTTATCTCCATTTACCTGTAAGATACCTGATGTGCGTCCGTCAAAATAGGCAGGAGTTGTTTTGAGCTACTGATCAACAACCTTGAGTCGTCATGTTAATCATAAAATTTATTGTTACACTGTCCCTGTCCCATACTTTTTCAGTTCCATTTTGCGTTAGTAATTGCTTTCTTTCTTTATAGGATGAGGTCATTTACATTCATAGTTTCTGGGTTCTAGACAGTGCGAGGAAGATATATCCACAGAATCTGCATTTGCAATTTCATGGGAGAGAGATGCATTCCATTTGCTTTATTCCTGAAGATTCACAGTCTAGTTCAAAGCAAGTTACCCTTTCTAACTCCTGTTGGATTGCAACTGGTTGTGAAGATGGAACTGTGAGATTGACTAGGTATGTAATTTGTAGAAATCAGATGGACAATTTTTTTTTTCTTGTTTTACTTTATATTCAGCTTGGTCTAAAACTGGGGACTAAGGCCTCGTTTGGGATGCTATCTTTTTAGCCAATTAGCCAAAAAGTTACTAAATTAGCCAATTAGCCAATTAGTCATACCAAAAAGTCAACAATTACGGCTTCTCTCTACTTTTTGCACAGCTTTTCGTAATTAGTCAAAAAGTCATCCCAAACATACAAGTTTTTTTTACCTACCTTTTTAGCCAATTAGCCAAAAAGTTACTAAATTAGTCTGTTCCCAAACGAGGCCTAAGAGCCTCAGTCCGATGGTATGTTTACAGCATTGATATGCTTGATGAGTACCCAACCCCTCAAAGCTGGAAAAAATTGACATTATCATTTTATTATTGTCATCATTATTATTTCAAGAATGAATTGCACTAACGGTGCCTATAGTTTGAGGCTTCTGTCATTTTGGTTTCTAACTTTTCAATTATAATACATTTGACCCTTAATTTTGAATCTTGTTTCAAATAAGGACAATTAAAAATTCATTGTTCAATTTCAATGGCAAAGTAGTCAATTTGATAAAATATAAACTAGTTTGACAAAAATAAATATCAAAAAATTATTTTTTAATTTTTAAAAATTATTTATACCCACCAAAGATGAAATTATATCAAATTGATAAATCTTTTACATATTTATTTATTTATTTTTAACAAATTAATTTTTAATATATGTTTGGATGATGATCATGTATTTTCTTTAAATTAGTTTCTATTTTTTCAAAATTCAAATATGGCGACAATTTTGATATTATTATTAAACCAATCCATTAAATGAAAAAATCCAAAACTAAAAAAATTTCATATGTTCAATATATCGATTATACATTAAAAGTCTAATAACCATCATTACATGATAATCATCCAAAAATATCTATTAACAACAAATACAACCATCTATTACATAATAACCATAAAAAAAGCATCAAATAAACAACCAACCATTACATGATCATCATCCAAACACATAATAAAGATTTAATTTGATAAAAATAAATAAATAAATGTGTAAAAGATTTATCAATTTTACATAATTATCTTTGGTGGGTAGAAATAATTTTTAAAAATTCAAAAATATTTTTTTGACATTTATCTTTGTCAAATTAGTTTATATTTGATCAAATTGACGATTTTGCCCTTGAAATTGAGCAATGTTATCTTCAATTGTCCTTATTTGAAACATGATTCAAAATTCAGGGTTAAATGTGTCACAATTTAAAAGTCAAGGAACAAAGTGACACGAGCCCCAAATTATAGGGACTGTTAGTGTAATTCGCCCTTATTTCAATGTATATGGCAGTTGCCATGATGGTGGCTAATAGAGTGATAATGATGCAGGTATGATCCAAGTGTTGAGGAGTGGTCTGCATCAAGTCTTCTTGGGGAACATGTTGGAGGATCAGCAGTGAGATCTATATGTTTTGTTTCAAAGATACATAAACTTGCAGCAGATGTGACCAACATGCCTAATGGGATAAATAGACTAAATGCTGACTTGGGGGATAGAGAGAATCCTTGCTTACTAATTTCAGTTGGTGCAAAGCGAGTTCTCACTTGTTGGAAACAAAAGAATAGAATAACAAAATTCGAGGAAGAAGCTAGTATGACTAAACCACATGATGCAACTGGAAGTGGCTTTAAGCCATCATCACGAATGTTCTCACCAATGTCGTTCCAGTGGCTTTCCACTGACATGCCAAACAAGTATTATAGCACCTGTGAAATAAGAGAGAACACTGAGAAAGTAGGAACAGCTGAAAATGTTGTGGGTTCTGATGCAGCATATGCATCACCTTTTCCAGAAGCCAGGAAGATAGAATCAAAAATCTACCTTGGAGATAAATATGAAAATGACTGGAGATACCTGGCTGTTACTGCTTTTCTCGTTGAGGTTACTTATTCCAGGTGGAGTTGATAAAAATAACCTGTCATGCTTACTATACTTTTTAGTCTAAATTATCTAATTCCAACATTGATGACATTGTCTCATTATTGCCACCCTTTCAGGTTAACTGTCTGTTTCATTATTGTTGCTTGTTCAGATGCCACACTTGCATTACGAGCTCTCTTATTACCCTATAGGCTTTGGTATGCCTAAAGCCACCTTCATTTGGTTTACGTGATGGTTTGCCATCAACTAATTCAATTTTAACCTTTACCCTTACCTGGTATTATTTGCTATTTCTTTTCATGCCTCATTTCAGGTTTGATGTTGCATTATTGGTTCCCCTACCATCACCCGTTTTGGCATTGCAGCATATCATTATTCCTATGGGTTTGCCTTCTGAAGGTTGGATTGCTGTTTGTCTCTTCTTTCGATCAACAACTTAATCTAATTATTGTAGAAATCTCAAGTCTGAAGTTTCTTCTGAATGTTTTTAGAGTTTGGAAATTACTGTACTTAACAAACATGCCTCCTGATGTAGAGAAGAAGGAAAAGATAAGAGAGGAGAAGAAGGAAGAAGAGGGTAAGAGAGCACAGGATAAATCAATCAAATCTGAATTCTATTCATGTTTGGGAGACCAAATGTGGTTTTACGACAATATTACCTATTTACAGGTTTAAGAAAACTCTAATAATTCATAGAAGAGGAATGCTATACAGAATTTAATTTCTTACCTTATTTTCTCACTCCTAGATAAAAACAGTGGGGGCCACGTTAATAAATGCACATGAGACCCATTCACTTGTGTCTAAGAGTGAGAACAAGAGGTAAGAAATTGATCAAATGTTGCATTTTTCTTCATAGAAATCTTGTAGAACTCTTCATCCCCAATATAGATATTAAATAAATCTAAAATCCTATCACCGAAGCCACTAAAAAGTCTTAAAAGAAAGAAAAAGACGACATTATCTAAAAAGACTCTTAATTATGCTGATCACTTAAAACTTTTGATCAATTTATTATCTTGTTGTGAGCATCACATGAACTTGAATACATCAATCTCCCTTTGTTGGAGAAAACTCGACCTTGAATTTTGTTGATCTTCAACATTGAGAAGGTTTTTAGTTGAATGATTGTTCTCTATGATACTTAACTGATACAACTTGACCTTCATGTAGATTTCTTTGAACACGTGATGGTAAGAATATGATGGTTTGTGTTTTATTATTTTATTTTAAAGAAAGTATTATAAGACATGTCCCATGGACTTGAGTATGAGTATCAAGTGTGGGTGCATGTCCAAGCATTAGATGTTCATAAACCTGAAACTCAGGATATTGTGATATGCATCCAAAAGATATATTTGTACAGGGCATATTGTTTAATATCCTTAGATAAAGATGTAAATTAAATATACTTGAAATTAAATAGAATTTAGGAAAGATATGGAATTTTATCTTCTTTCTGTATGAGAGGCTAGAAATATTTCTTTACTGGCAAATGCGAATTTCTTCTTCATCAAACATTGTAAAAAATTAGAGAATTCTAGTATCTTCATTGGATACGGGTGTTGGACACATATACCACACTGTTATCCTTGTTATATCCCATGGGCATGGGTACTTTTGGAGGAAATAGAAGTGTCCATGTAACACACGTTATAAAGATAGAGTTGAAAAAAATCAAAGAGAGCTGAATAATGAGATACGATAGGAAAAGAATATAAAGAAGAGAGGAGATAGCATGAAGTTAAAAAAGAGACGAGAGAGAGAATATAGACGTTAATACCCTTTGAAAGAGGAAGAGTAAACAATTATTCAACTCATATTTCTTTTATTTTCTTGCATGTTATTGTTAATGATTATTCAAAAACTTGATGCACAGATAATGTTCAGACCGGAAGCGTGTATCTTTTAATTAGTGGATCTACTGATGGGAGTATTACCTTTTGGGATTTGACTGAAAGTGTTGAAAATTTTATCCGGTCAGTGTCAGATTTTCATATAGAAAAGTCTATTGATTGTCAGAAAAGGCCACGCACGGGAAGAGGAAGTCAAGGTGGGCGATGGTGGAAAGCATTGGGCAGTGGCATCTCTACTAAAAACCGAGGTGATAATTCAGTCACGGCAAGAACCATTGAGGGAACTGGCAAAAATATGCTAAATACTGTTGGTTGTGGAACCCCATCAAAGTGTACTGATTCTGAAAGAGGTGCAACAGCTTGCACTCAGCCTATCTATACTCCTTCCATAGAAGAAGAGAAGTTGGCTGATTCATCGTTGGAATTATGTAGAATATGGCCCTTGAAAATTTTGAATAACATTCACCAATCTGGGGTCAATTGTCTCCACATTTCTAGTATCCAGAATAACAGAGGTTCCAACTTTGCCTATATGTACTATGCTTTAAGTGGGGGTGATGATCAAGCACTTCACTGTCTTGGGTTTGATTTGCAAATTCTACCGTCAAACCAGTACTCCGAGAACCAGGATCATGACATTGGTCATGGTGTTAGTGAATCTATGAATAACTTCATTCACCATGGTCAGAACCAAAACTACAGTATCAGATTTTTCTATCATGACAAAGTTGCATCAGCTCACAGCTCTTCTGTAAAAGGTACAATATTGAATGCTTTACAATTACTTGTCTACCATTATCCATGTCCATTCTTTTTGGAAAATTAGGACAACACCAAAGGTGGTTGCTGTTTTTGTTTTACAATTTTTTTTAAAAAAATATTTCGTTCTACACTAGATACGAAGCTTCTATGTTGTGCACTTATGAAGAGCCTTTCTCTTCCATTTTTTCCTTGTATAATATCATCTTGTTAAAGATTTTCCTGAGTTTTGCGTTAGGATCTCGAAATGTTTAAATAATATGTAGTGCTCATGACATGTAAAATGCCCTTGGGTCTGTGCCACATACTGGCAACAATTCAAGGACAAGGACAGGCCTGAACCTTTTTTTAGTGCTTTCGAGCAAGTTCTGTTATGGAGAAATTCTTGAAAACATTTGATCTGAATGATGAAATGAAATTTGGTTTCATTTTGTGAAGGAATCTGGACAGACGGGTGTTGGGTGTTCTCTACTGGTCTTGATCAGCGGATAAGGTGTTGGCTCCTTGACGAGCATGGAAAACTAAAAGAGTATGCTTGTTTAATCATTAGTGTGCCAGAGCCAGAAGCATTGGATGCTAGAGCCTGTGGCAAGTAAGAATATTATTCATTATTCGGCTTGCACTCCTGGCAATCCTTTTCCAATAGCATTTCACAATTATGATCCTTGTAATTTACATTGTTTTTCTTATTCTGGTTCTCTTTATGTCTTTTATCCAGAGACTCTTATCAGATCATAGTTGCTGGCAGAGGGATGCAAATGGTTGAGTTCTCCACCTCCTGTGGCATGGATAATGGAGACTGAGTCCATGGGCGGGGTTATGCGTCAAGTAGACTGAAACTTCGAATTTTTTTTTAGGAATTATGAGCCTTTTTTGAAAGGTTTTCATAAATACACCATTATAGTAGTTCAGAAAAATATATTTATCGACAAAAAAAAATGTTTTAAAAAAGTAATTAATCCTATGTTTGTCATAATTTTATGAGTAATGCTATAGACTTCAAAAGTTCTATTAAAATTTATACCAAATGTTTCGCATGGGTGTGAGACCCACACCATATGAGTCTCACACCCATATAAGACATTTGATAGAACTTTTGGGATTTCTAGCATTTTTGTAATTTTATACCATTTTTTGTTTAGCACTGATAACTATTAATGGTTGAATACAGTGCCGGCTTAAGCATTAAGGCAGGTAAAGCATGTGCTTTAGGATTCAAAATTGTGCGAAAGCCCCAAAATTTTGGGAATATTCTCGAAGGCCAAGAAACCTGACGCCTTCTTGGATGAAGGATTCTAAGGATAACTTTAGGTTTTTACAAGAAACCTCCAGGCTAGAGTGAATCTCTTGTAAACGAGAGTGGATTATTTAGGATATCAATAGTGAATCTCTTCTATTCAGGGCCACCCAAAGTTGGACATTTCATATTTTAACTCTATTAATTTTATTTGCCTATTTGGTCTTTGCAAGTTTTCGTGGGCTTGCTTTGGTAGATGTGTCAGTGACTAGTGTATGGGAGAGAAGGATAAAAAGGAAAGTCGGAGTAAAAATGGTTGTTGAGTAAGGATTTTATGCATCTCCATACATAGACTAACACAAAGAAACAGCCAGCCTCCTTCATATACTGAAAGTGCCATGGCTGAGCCTGGCCCTGGAGGGACCAGAATGCCTTCATTTTGGAGAATTGTATTTATTTGGTGTTTCTTCTTTCTGTAAATTAATGGTTTATTTTTTATGGATGATTAGTATTGAGCTTAGTCTGGTATCTTGTAGTTGGTCTTTTGTGTAGTCGTTCATCAAGTATGGTCTGGTCTATCAATAGTGTAATCTGAACAATGTGTTTTTTTAATGCAATGTGATGTTCTTTTCTCTGCCAAAAATAAAATAAAATAAAATAAAATAATTCTAATTGTTTTCTTAATGAATTTTACACAATGAATAACGCATGCATGATGCAGTGCAGGGTGGGTGTTAGCAGTACTAGTACAACCAAATGCACATGTGCACCCAAATTGCATACCCATCCAATGTGCTATTATTGCAGATTATTGACTTATGAAAAATACTTCAGACTACTAGTTCAACACTATTAATACATACTAATGATATGGCACCATGTGGTTTTTGTTTTGTTTTGTTTTTTTCTTGCACTTGTTTTTTTTTTTGTTCTAACGGCTCTCCGAGTGAGAAATCTTCTGAGGATCAAGATCATCTCTCCCGAAGCACGAAGAAACTCAAAGCTCTTCAAGGGTCTGAAGAGGATGTTTGTATGGTGGACAGTATCTCAGGGAGGCAGGGGAAATTTGTTCCGTTGGGAAACAAGGGGGATTCCTCTACGGATGCTTTGGGTCCGACTATTCTCAAATCCAGATCTTTCAGAGAAGCCCTCACCAATAGGAGGTTTAATGACAGGCCTTTTGATGATGATTTAGATAAATTATCTACTGATGATGACGAGGCCGAAGAGGATGCAGATTTTTCAGAGGACGAAGCGGTTATGGAAGAGGAGTCGGACTTTGGGATCCCTCGTATTAAGCTCCCCCGAAATCTCGAGTAAAATACGGCGACCTTGGAAGGAATGCTTGATCATCAAGCTGCTAGGGAAATCTGTGGGGTATAAGTTGCTCATTACCAAGGTTCGGAAAATCTGGGATCTTCAAGGTGATTTTGAAGTCATTGATCTAGGGCTCAGTTATTTCCTATTTAAATTTCATGAGGGAGGATTGTGCTAAGGTTTACACTGGCGGTCCATGGGTCATCCTGGATCATTATCTTACTGTCCGGAAATGGAGACCTGACTTTAAGCCCTCTCAGGCAAAGAAAATTTCATCTGCTATGTGGGTTCGGTTTCCTCAGTTGCCTATTGAGTATTATAATGAAAAAGTACTCTTTGATATAGCCAAGGCTATTGGCAAACCATTGAAAATAGATATAAATACAGCCACTTCTTCAAGAGGTAAGTTTGCTCGAGTTTGTGTAGAGATGGATTTGAGTAAGCCACTGATATCGCATTTTGCTATAGGGGTGTATACGTATGGCATTGAGTATGAACATTTGCACTCTTTCTATTTCTAACTGTGGCATGTAGGACAAAGAAGAGAGTGGTATAGTGATGCTCTGGCGGTGGTGATAGCAATAGAAAAGAACCACAATGACGACAAGGACAATCCAGAATCAACCGTTGGGAAAGCAAGACCTAGCGCTACAATGGGCCTATAATGAAGAATGGGACAACATAAGGTTTTGGGCCTTAGATGATTGTGAAGAAAAAAGGCAAAAAGATTAGTGCACAAATGAGAGGAGAGAACAAAGAGGGCCCATTGATGAAGGCTCAATGAAAAGAGGGAAGAAGACCAAATGGCTAAGACTTGACAACAAACTAGACAAGTGGAAAAGGTACTTTAAAACAGAGCCTAATACAAACTAGTTCGAGTAACAAAAGTTGCCCTGACTAAAAAAGCAAAGTAACATTGGAGAAGAATCCAGAAAACCAACCAAAGGCCTATGTGAACTAGACATAGGAATAAGTGTATCTGAAAGGAAAGAACAAAGAACTAACCACTTTCCAATTCCTTCACCTATTTCAGTCTATGGAGCCAACTAACAAAGGGGTCGTGATGGACACTTTTGGTAGGTCATTTTGTACACTAAAAATAAAGAACTGTGTGTAGTACTAATTCCATAAAATAGTGGTTCGTCTAGGTGGGAAAGGTCTCTCTCTAATCTATATCAGACTAGAGGGTACTGTTGAGTCTCTATAGGCCCATCACGAAGCCAGCATCCATGATCTGAATCGTTAATGTGTAGAGCTCGTCGAATACTTTATCTCTTCCACCGATAGCCCAAAATAGA